TGATCGTTCGACACGTAATAAGCGATTGCATTGCTTTCGATCACATGGTGTCCGTCCTTTGTCTCCAATGCGGGCACCTATTGGTCACAAATGTGTTAACACAACAATTCAAATGCCATTTAATTATAAACTAAATGTTAGATTCGATGAAATCTCCGCGAATCACATGAGACTCGAAGAGTAGGACCGATTCCGACGATTGCTATGTCTCTCTTGTCTTACGACAGAATCAATGGATTTGATTGAGTCGTCTTTGAGAGAGAACTATGCGCTGATGGATAGGGAGGGAAGCGATCGATACATACCTTTCCAAAGGGGAACTTCTTAAGGAAGTCGGGCCTCGTGTTTGTCTCACCCAACTTGAAGTCCTTCACCACATCGATGGCGACACCGCTGTATTGACTGGCAATCAACGCCTTAAACGCCCGCCAATTGTTGTCATAAGTGTATAGTTTCTGTCAATTGGTTTACAAATCAATTAAATTAATTGAAAGAATAAAAAAATGGTGAAAATTGGTTACATTTGACGACATATTGAGCGCCGGTTTGGGACACGAGTTATGATGTGTTCAACACTTCAAACCAAAAGACTGCAAACGGAAGTCGTGTTACACCACGTGATCCACACTCTAGACTGCAATCGATGCCAAAAACAGCGATCCTATCGATCATCGCTTTTATACCATTTCAGGCAAACTTTGTAGCATTTCCTCCACTATTAGTGTCGGGTGTGAAGCAAAGGTCACACAAATACCGGCCTTTTAGTGATCGACACACTCTATACGAGACATACATTGAAAAGAAATGCACTTTTAATGCAAAACTCATTGTTAAGCATAAAAATGAATTCTTGTCACCAAAACAGTCAATACTGTATCCCTTTAAACGGAGGTCTGACTCTGCAGTGCGACTAGAGGTCGACATGCAGTTTATATTATGCAATAAAACCATTGATTGCATTAAATGGTCACTTAATTGGTGGCAAGAAATGCCATTATCTGTGATATAAGAAGCATATAATTAGATGAAGAAGTAGTCAGAAGTGGAGGAATGCATAGAATGTATGAGTTGGTGAGGTTTGGTTTGATGTGGATATGGTTGGGATGTCTATTGGGTTAGTGTTTGGTATAGAGTAGAGTGTAGTGTCTGTAGAGTATAGAGTAGTACAGAGTCTGTGGTGTTGTGTGTATTGAGTGAATGAATGAGTTTTATATGCATTTTGTTTGTAATAAACTGTAATCTAAACCATAATTAATGTGAATGTAATTGAGTTTTATTGACACGGATTTGCATTCATTTGTATAAATCGTTTGTTTAATTCATTTCATTATTAAATAGTTCTCAAAAAGTGATCGCAAATAGCATTTGATTGCAAATCCAATTCATTATATTTATTGTGATTATTGTGTGAATTAATAGGAAAAATACATAAACAAAATGGTATTGAAATGACAATCACTAATGTTTTCCTCAACTCATCTCTAATTGCTTTCAATTGATCCACAATTTAGGGAAACGAAGCCTCGCTTCCGATGGAAATGTGCTCTAATTGTGAGTCTTTGTGTGTTTTGCCAACAAATGTGTATTGATTTGTGTTATCCCGTGTTGACAGTCGACGCGGACGAGATCAAGAGACTCGGCAAACGCTTCCGCAAACTCGATCTCGACAATAGCGGCTCCCTTTCCGTCGATGAGTTCATGTCTTTACCAGAACTTCAACAGAACCCTCTCGTCCAACGGGTGATCGACATCTTCGACACCGACCGCAACGGAGAGGTCGACTTCAAAGGTTTGTGACCACCGATTGTCTCCCTTTGATCTCATTGTATGTCTCGTATGGTTTGATATAGAGTTCATTCAAGGCGTGTCTCAATTCAGTGTTAAGGGCGACAAAGAATCAAAGCTTAGGTGTAAGTGACGGACAGACCAGATGTGGTGATGCGTTCATATTGACTCATTGCATGTGTTTTTGCCACCAATAGTCGCATTTCGTATCTACGATATGGATAACGACGGCTTCATATCGAACGGAGAGCTGTTCCAAGTGTTGAAAATGATGGTCGGAAACAATCTGAAAGACACACAATTGCAGCAAATAGTGGACAAAACGATTGTGTTTGCGGACAAGGATGAAGACGGCAAGATCTCCTTCGAAGAGTTTTGTTCCGTAAGTTTTGTTAATGTTTTTGTTGGAAATGCTTTCAAATTAGATTCTGAACACAATCTGAAAACTAAAATCTAATTTTAAGTCAATTTTATTACTAACTTCTCTCAGTATTTACTATATATTTGATTAAAACAATGACTGAATTGAAACTCCTTTAACGGGTGTCTACTCTTCGTTCTCCTCTCAAACATTGTGTCCAAAACATTGAATCCCTTTTCCTTTTCGCCACTCATTTCTATGACAGTTCCCGAGGAATGAATGATAAATAAAGTGTTTCCTTATAACTGAATGCATACTAATTAAGCATCACTTTAATCGCGTGTATATTTATCCCTGTTATGTCCTAATAGCAAAATGTTGCCCACATTTACCACTAAATAATTGCCAAAAATACCTTATAATAGAAATATTATTGAAAGGAATAAAATTGAGTTAAAATGTAGAAATTGTTTGAATGTATTATTACTTTTAGTTTTTATAATTATTAATAAATATTTATTAACATTACTATGAATTATGTCGTACTTTGAATGTATTGTTTCCGCAATACTTTATATTTATTATTAAATACCTAACAATCAGAGCCAAGATTTTGTTGGACTTATTTGTCATATTAAAAATGGCAACAAATTGTGATTTAAATCAATGTTTCATTGCTATTAGTTTTAATAAAATATTAGTTTAATTATATACACAATGATTGATATGTTAGGAGTTTTTTGCAATTTATTAACTATTTTTAAATGAATTACGATTTAAACATATAAACTGTTGCACAAAATGTAATAATTGTATATATATTCTCGTATATAAGCAAAGCTAGTCTTATCCTCACATTCTTTGAATCTTTTTGATTAGAAATTAATTTTTATTACACTTTTGTCTATTTATTTGATATGTCATTCATTTAGTATTAAATGTCATTTTAGTTTTGTTTAGTATTTTATGTTATTTTTAAAGTGAACTTTTCCGATAAAATCCGGGCTCTGTTTTTCACAATGTCTTTACTATTAGACTTCATTAACTAATATTATAATTGATGTAATTATCTCTCAAATAAATGTTAATCCAAAACTTGTTAAAACATTTTCATGCTTTCATTCTTTGAAATATAATCGTTTAAAAAGCAATAAATATTCAAATAAATATTAATCGACACAAGTATTCAAAAAATAGTTGACATCTGTTTCCTATACTAATAATAATTATACAAAAAGTTTATTGCATTTGAGGAATGGGTTTACAGTAAAATGTTTTATCCAAACATTTCTTTAACTATTTATGATTGCGAACAAGAATTAGATCCAAACCTTTGGCCCATTTTTTACCTCCCGTTCCTATTCCTCATATAATCACTCAATTCTTTGAACTAATAGTTAAAGGAAAAGAAGGGATGAAATGATCGAATAATACTAAAAAGTGTTAACATCTAAATAGTGACTAACTATTAATGAATTGATATAATATTTAGTTGTAATTATAGTTAAATTGCTTTATTTTTTGGTTCTATAGGTTGTAGGAAATACTGATATTCATAAGAAAATGGTAGTCGACGTCTAGGTCTGGGCGGACAGTCTCTGTTCACCTCTTCTTATACAAAGACTTTGTGTTAATATTTTGCATCAATCAATGAGAACATCATTTATACCATTAAAATATCTTTTGGATTGCATTTTGTGTTCGTTTGGCCAAAAAACAACTGAAACTGAGAGAAAATATAATCGGATATAATTTAAGGCAAAGGTTTTGACAAGTTTTTCGTTTTGTTAAATCATTTTTCGATTTCATAACAATTATTGTAATTCTAATTATTCGCTAAATTCTTGTATTTTTCCATTTAATACAAAACTCTTAATCTATAACTTAATACCCGATCCTTTTGAATGCGATTAGCATTTTGTGTCACTTTTTAATATAAAACAAATTTTCGGACAATTGGTTAATGAATTAATAGATTATATATATTATAATATGAGAGTCAGACAAACAATATATGAATTATACTGTGTTTTGGCCCCAATATTGCCTTTGAAACTCTTTGAGAAGGTTTGGTCACTATTGTAATGATATATTTGTTGGCTTTTAGTATATTTATTGTTAAACTTATTTACAATTGAAGACAATGTCGAGCGAAAGCACAACCGATTGGAGGCATAATTATACTTCCTTTTAGTTTCATTTAGTTTAAAACACAATTCATTTTAAATAATTGTTTCAATATTTTCTAACCAATCAATGAATGTCTAATTGAAACGATTTTTAAATTAGAAACAAAATATTTTTACCCAAATATTATGATTGAATAATGGATTTAAATTTGCAAACATTTAGAAGACATGCAATCGATATTAAGATTTGTATTCAAATTGTATTTAAATATACTATAAATCAAATGAAGACTTTCTCTCTCATAAGCCTTATTCTTATCTCAATATACATAAGATTGTAAAATATATTATTATTGATAAATATATATATATTATAAATATAATTATAATTGTGATTGAATTTGAGATCAGATTTGGTTTAAAATCTTTAAAATAATTATTAAATGATATGAAAACTTAAAATACAAAACAAATATCAATGAATATCATATGAAATATTGTTAACAGATTTAAATCAATGACTCATTCAATGCTTTAAACACATATAATATGAATTATTTGGACAAATAATGTATTTAATTATAACATCACTTATGACTGCAATTATGTGAACAATATCTCAACAATTGATCAACAAAAATGCAATTATTGTTATTAGTTATGCTGTTTTCAATTAATTAAATCTCATCCAGTGATGCTCTCTCTCTCTCTCTCTCTCTCTCTTTTGTTTCCATTTCCTTAGGCGTAACTCAAGGATATTATACAATTCATTCATGTTTTGGTGGCGTTAATCAAGTTTTCGTCGCCAGTGGTAGTGAAGGTATAGTCTCTCCACCAGAATTTACATTAGGTTAAAGTGAAGTAATAGTGAAAGTAAAAGAGTAGTGATTCTTACAATGAATAGAAATACTTAAAAATAGGCTCAAGAGCTTAAGAATGTGAAGATATAATTGTAGACAAGTTTGACACGAATTGATGAAACAAATAGTTTGCTGTTGTGTTGTGAGAGTCACTTCATTGGACGAGATCTTAATTAAAGAGTCAATTTTGTTGGCAATTAAATGTTTTTATTTATAAATTTTAAGATTAATTCAATTTATATATAGTTTTATTTTTAATTTGGTTTTTAATTGTTTTGTTTAAATATAAGAAGATTGCAAATAACTTAAAACTAGTCATATGTATGGGCTATAGGTATGAATACAATTGTATTAAATTGTTTTTAAAACGATCATAACTTTGAGAATTGAATTTAACTTTCGATTCTAGAACTCAATTGAGAAGTAATTTAATAATAAAACTTGAAATAAAGTAATAAATTGAATGTTATAATGAATTAAAATATATATTAATTTGAAGTGAGAAACTAATCAATTAATTAATAATAATAATAAATTATGAAACAATATTTGTTTTATATTTGAAATGAAAGTATTTGATTAGCACTGAATTTGTCTCAATTGTAATGTACAGCACAGTTAACATAATTATTGACAAATTATAACATTAATTGAAATGTATTTAATTAATTAAATTAAATAATTATTAATTATATAATAATAACAACATAAAAGATAATATAAGTCCACAAAAAACAAATAAAAAAATTGTTTATAATTTTTGGTGGATTTCAATTCATTTCTCTGTAAATATATTTATATATATCTTTACAATCAGTGATCGAGTCTTATATATAAAAACAGAAAGTTTTTTATCAAATCATATCAATCACTATCGACTCTACAAACTAACAATTTTCACCCATTTTTCTCATTTCTTTGTTTTTGTTTCGAAGAATCTTTCGTTTTGAAGAAAAAACAATTTAAAACTTCTATTAATATTTGATTTTAAAATTAAAACATATATTATGTGAAAACAAAAATACCTTTTAATTATAATTATATTTACTATTATTATACTGTATTTGATTTACTATTTTGAAAATTGCAAAATGAATTTGAATGCAAACAAAATATGACGAAAAATTGTTAGTTTTGAAAACAAATTACATTAAATTAATAATTGAATTAAAATTATACATAAATTAATAGTAAATAATAATTATATGAAATTGTTTTTTGAGATTTGGATTATACGCTAACATAACATGTAATATCCCGCTGCCGTTGGCCCACATTTTCTAATTGTTATCATAAAATTTGACAAATTATTTGAAATATTTAAATAAAAATCTCATTTAAATGTTGAAAAATCAAATCCTCGTATATTTTTTTATATCAAAAGCTAAAACAAGTGTTTCTATTAATTTTGGTAAACAATAGATTGAGTGCTTTCTTTCTCTCTCACACTCTCTCCCTTTCATTTGATAACTCATTTACAGTTAAATTGTTAACAATTTTTGTTTTGTCACTTAAATTATGTTTTAATCGCAATTTATTGCATAATTAAATAATTGGTAAATAATATTTGCATTATTTTTAATAAGTGAGGTATAAATAGAGTGGCATTTCATCGTTTAACTCAAAATCATTGGTAAATTTTGATCAAACGGTTAATCTATTATACAATTAAAATCTACCGAAAAAAATAATGAGCAAAAAAGTAGTTCAAATAATTGGTAAATAAATGTGTGAATAATAACATAAATCTTATTGCAAACAAAAAGATTGATTACATATCATCTGAATTACACAAAATGATGCGAATTAAAGGCAATTACAAACATTCAATCGTTTTGTTACTTAAATTAAACTGTTTTCATAATTACAATACAATCATAAATTGTATGTTTTCTCGTATAACAACTGATAACCAGATGTACTACACGTCCATTACATGTGCATTCAATTCAATTATATAGTGGTTTGTCTTCATTTTCAATTTGATGTCAAATCTTATGCATAACTCAACAACTCTTCGATCGATCCGTTAGAGGAACTGGCGTTTGGATTGTATGTATGGTTTGAATCAATAACTCGTCACTCATTTATCAATTATAATTATGTGATGAATAAAATGAAGCAATGATTTAGTGAAGAATTGTCTGATTAGGCACTCGATTATGGTTTCACAACTTTTATTGAAGTACTGGGACTCGAATGGTTAGAATCCATGGCTCGCGTCGATAACAGGTTTGGTGAGGACGCCATCGACACACTGGCCGCTGATTGTGATCTGTCGGGCGTCGGACCCCATATTCTGACGGTCGCGTCGTCTGAGGCACTGGCGATCAGTTGTGGGTATTTCGGGTTCCACGAGACACAGTTCACTGTCCGCGAGTGACCCGTCAACACACTTATCGGCTTCTCTCTCTTCAGGTGCCAAATGTAGATCTTATTGTCTGTTCATTACAAACATTCAAATCAATCCAAACAATGTATTTGTCATTCAATTGAGAGACTATACCTTCACTACCACTGGCGACGAAAACTTGATTAACGCCACCAAAACATGAATGAATTGTATAATATCCTTGAGTTACGCCTTGAAATTTTCTTAACAAAATCTTGTCCTCTAAGTCCCATAAATGGACGCCCTGTGAGGCAACGTTAATAAGCGCTAAACGGCCCGAATCATCGACTGTGAACGACATTATCGAGTTGTCTTCTCTTATACTATAAAAGCAGACAAACCACTCAATATTCAAACGCCAAAAAACCTCATCAAAAGCATTGATTACTCACACATTAAAATCTGAAAGTTCATCAAAATTATAGCCCCGGATCCGTTGATGAGTGTCGGCCGCCAACACTGTTTTGCCATCTTTACGAAAGCAGAGACATTGGACTCTAACGCCTTCCCACGTGTCGATCACATTGCCGTCCAAATCCTAGTTGAGGTGTTAAACACGTCAATACAAATGAACGACACAATAGCTGTACGATAACTAACGCATTGGTAGAACTGTCCCCTTTGGCCTCCGGTCACGAACTTCTTGCCGTCTTTATGCCACGAACACGTCGTCAGACTGTCTTCAGGGGAATGACTCACTTTGACTCTCAGTTCTCCCGACTATAGTTTAGATCAACACTGTTAACAACGAGTGGTCACTACAAGACAATAACAATACAATACCTGTACGTTCCAAACCCAAAGGTCGGAGCAGTCGTCGGGACCGCAAGCTATCAAATAATTGTCGTCTGGACTCCACGCCAGATATGAGACGCCATACGAGTGGCCTTCAAATGTGTGCTTATGTTTGAGTCTTAATGTTTCCTAAATATAAATGTAATCATGAAATACAAGCCATAAATGGTAATAATGGTCGTCATAATTACGGGGTCGACGTCCCAAATCATAAGAGTGCTGTCTTTGGAACCGGTGGCCAGTTTTGTGCCGTCGTTGGAGAAGCGACAGAACCACACTTCGTCGCAGTGATCCGTTAGGATCTGTATTGACTCACTCGGGAAGTCCTCTCGACTGCAGACGTGATCAACCAATAGATTGACGGAATCGAGTCCCGCATCGGTCGTAAAGTTATGGTAAGGACAGCGATCTTTCTGGAGATCAACGGCTTGACACAGAAGGGTCAGTAGTCTTCGCGGCGGAAGCATTACAGTCGGCGGTAGAAAACCTATAGTATAGGCCAATGGATATCAAAAATAAATAAATGTGTCGATAAAATACAAAATGTAATAATACTTTGCAATTTTTCCATCAGTTTGATCCTCGAGGGCATACCCTTTCCCTCCCAACTCGATATCTTTCTCAGCTCTTCTGAAGTGTTGCACATTAGAAATCTTCCAAACAAAACAACCAAAATTCATATTAAAGTCATTATACAATCAATTGGTTAATGAGTCTCAAAATAAGCTCTACTTTTATTTTAAACATTTAAGGATTCTAATGAATACCTATTTTAATGGGTTTTCATATTTGATTCTTAACTTAATGTTAGCCAAGTATTAATACAAACAGACAATTATATCGAGTCTAGACATTAAAATCCTTGCAAATCGTTTTCGTTTTATACAACATTCAAAGTTGCATTATTTTAATAACGCTTACAAATAGACATTTTATACATACAGTATATCGTATGATAAACAATATGTTTGCACCTCTTTTTAATTAATGCTAATTTGTATTTCATTTATCATATTTGTTGTATTATTTCAATATTCATATTAATGTTTTCATGTTTTACCACAATTAACAGCCATTAAAGATATTAAGTAATAAATGGGGTATAAAGTGGGGCCCATATAAGGAGGTGTATATTATAGGATAAAATGCACATGACACATACATTGTGTTGCTTATAGGGCAGCTATACAACTATATTTCAACCAATACTTATCGGCAATTAGTATCAAATATTTATAGTAAGAATACCATAATATACTCCATAGTATACATAGTATTTATAGTTAAATAATTGTCCAAAATATTGGACTCTTTGTATAGAAGAATATCTACACATTATATAATCAGTCAACAACTCATATACACTCAAATCATATGATTGTTCATTACATCAGATGATAACAAAGAGAATTTTCGTTTTATACAACATTCAAAGTTGCATTATTTTAATAACGCTTACAAATAGACATTTTATACATACAGTATATCGTATGATAAACAATATGTTTGCACCTCTTTTTAATTAATGCTAATTTGTCATATTTGTTGTATTATTTCAATATTCATATTAATGTTTTCATGTTTTACCACAATTAACAGCCATTAAAAATATTAAGTAATAAATGGGGTAAAAAGTGGGGCCCATATAAGGAGGTGTATATTGTAGGATAAAATGCACATGATACATACATTGTGTTGCTTATAGGGCAGCTATACAACTATATTTCAACCAACACTTATCGGCAATTAGTATCAAATATTTATAGAAAGAATACCATAATATACTCCATAGTATACATAGTATTTATGGTTAAATAATTGTCCAAAATATTGGACTCTTTGTATAGAAGAATATCTACACATTATATAATCAGTCAACAACTCATATACACTCAAATCATATGATTGTTCATTACATCAGATGATAACAAAGAGAGCGCATAAACAAACAAAATGCTATGTCTTATGATCGGCACAACACTTTCGCTGATCAGCCATTCATTGATATCAGCAAAACATTATATCTATCCCTTATTTAGCGACTAATTAGTAGCAAATAAAAGGAAGTGATAGATAGCGTCGATGAGAAATGCAATGCAATTGTGGTTACAATGGCTAACATTACAGTTAATATGGATTAGAGAATAGAGGGAATCATGTATTACCGGCTGAGTTGATGGACGCGTGCGGTGTTGTACTTAAGTGGAGTCAATTCGTGACGAAGACAATTGAGTGCTTCAACACATTTCGATTCTTCGATGTTTTCCATATATTTTTGCTCTAATAATAAAAACTTCATTTTCTATAATCAATAGTAATTAATAATTAGATAATTGGGAAACAATTTGTTAGCAATTAGTGTGATATTACGGTCAATGCTTTGGGCGAATCCAGCAGTGGATTGAGTTCACAGAGGGCTGACTCGGCCTATAAGACATCAATCAATTCAAATGTATTGTCCAAACAAACAGTGGTTTGAGTGCATACCTGAGCCCACTCTCCATTCATTACGTATGTCTGGAACTTCGCGGCCGACGGATGGTCTAAACGACAGCCCGACTCTTGGATCAGTTGGTCAACAGTACGGCTACGGAAGAGACAATTGATTGGTTAGATTGTGCGCTATGTGTGGTCAGGGGTGAGGACTTACTTGAGTCCGAGGACTCGCAAGTATTGGCCAATGAGACGAATGATGTCCTGATCTGTGGAGGACTTGATGTGAACCAATTTAGTGAGCGATTCGTCACAAATACATTCATTGATGGGCTCTTCGTTCACACCATTGACAGAGAGGCCGTTAGGAGCCGAACCATTGGAACCGTTGGATCCGTTAGCGTAGCGCTGGACGTGTTCGGTGGCCGTGTCTTTGTTGGCGTCGA